GGCTGAGGAAATTGTTACTCTGGACAGTGGAAGAGACTAGAGACCTGGGATGATGTCAGGAAAAACAAAAGCATGCTACGGTTGTGCAGACTAAGAAAGTCCTTGAGTTTAGGGTGTAAATTTGTGGGCAGAGCCTGACCTGTGGCCTCAAACGTCCCTCCAGGAACACTATCAAGAAACAGTGATAAACCAGAAATTGTAAAATCTGACTCCAACCTTCAGATACTGCCATTACACTGGGAATGAATTTGCTCATGGAGCAAAAAAAGGCACCAAAAGTCCTGAGAAAATTAAAGCAACAAGCATAAGATGGTGAACAAGTTTCTCTTGGGTCTTCGTATTTCTAGAATTGTCTTAATCTCTGGGTGATCCTGTGGGTTTGTTAAAAGATTCAAAGTTTTCAGAAATAACATGTTATCAACATATAGGAAACACCTGACTCTTAACTATACCTTAATATGTTCTCCAGCTAGACAGGGGCCATCCACAACAAACTAATGATCTTTGGCTTTTGAATAACCCCTTGCAAGACCCCAACATGCTACAGTGAACAGTCAGACACATTCAAGATACAGGTCTGGATCTAAAAGGGCAACAGAAATTTTAGGAGGCAAAGCAGTGGACAAAATCCTCCTAAAAAACATGAAGACATTTTAAAGGGCAGAAGAGATGCGCTAGAGATGAAAGCAGCCCAGAATACAATATGACCCTACCGCTGTGCTGTTTGAAAAGCACCCAGGGAATTTCCCATCGTCGCAAATAGCAGAGGCATAGTCAAACGTGTGTCTCACTTTTCTCTTTACGTTGACTTGTAACGTACTGCTTAATTCACTTCATTCCCTCCCACCTCAGCCCGCACTGCAGCATACACGTTTCTTGAAGGGCTGCCAGATGCTGATCAGGACGTAACTGGACTTAATACTGAGTTTACCATTGTATTGGGCTATTTGTCATAAGCCTTACCCCAGCCACAGGCAGGGGCAATACTGAGCTGGCACAGGTCTGAACTTCAAAACAGACGGATGTAAAGTTTGTTCTCGCTGCCAGAGTGAAGCATGACCTGACTGAGGTTGTCTTGGTGCCTGGTCTTGTTCTAGTTGAGGTTGATAGGTAGTCTCAAATAAATGGGAAATGATTCCTCTGTGGGATGAAAAATGAGTTGGAAATATTTACAATGTATTTATGAAATCTCACCCACCCACGCACACACTTTGTTTACAACCCATTCTTGTGAGAAATGATGAGACAGAAGCTCCAGGGCCAGAAATCACACTCCGTATGACTGCTAACTGGTTACTCACTCTTCATATTTAACTTTGTTTTGAGTCTCTATATCTTTGCTAAGTTTTGGCACAGGCATTAATGCCAGCCTGGAGACAGTTACGGGCCACTGAGTCAGCCCAGCTGAATCTGTGACAGCTGCTGCTAACCCACGCAACCTTTGGGGAGCGACGAGGACCTCGCTGCTGCGTGGTCTTGCTCCCCAGAACTGAGCTGCTTTCTGATAATCCGTGACCGCTGCAGCCACCGAGAGCATCCTGACAGATGCAAGGTGACTCATCTGGCTGCAGCTGGCCAGCCGGTGAAGTTTGCTTTCTCAAACGGGCAACACTCAGAGCAAGATCTCTCTCCTACAAAGGCTGTCCCAGCACGAAACCATCACAAATGACTGCTCAGGTTACCCTGAGGTCTCTCCCTAAGGTCTGGGAAACAGTATGACATGAGAGATCATGCTAGGTAGTGGTTTAATCACATGGGACTATCCTTTGTACAACCAAGCCGGTGTTCTTGTATGAAGCGTCACAAAAAACATCATCATGGGATGAAGTAGCTGAAGACAAAATTTCCCAGTTGACTTCTCACTCCTCAGCAGTCTCAGGTCTGGAAGGGCCTCTGAACTGGGGAAACTGCCTGGGAAATGCTTTGGGGATCCAGCAGCAGAGCTGGACAGGCACAAGGCTTTGTGTGCTACAGGCTGGAAAACAAGGAAGAAATGTGGCCATTTCCCACGTGAAGTCTGGGTAACTTTCAGCAGCGCCTGCTTCTTCTGTCAGGAGGGGGAGGACTAAAGTGCGTGTGTGCGTGGGGGGACGGAGCCCGCAGAGGCCAAACGTAATCCCCTTTTCTCTGTTGTGAGAATGGAAATGCCATGCTTCTCCTCTAGAATTTCAGCTGCCAGCACCAAGCCCGTCTGGTGGATTCTGGCCGGGACACCCAATCCCGGGGTAACTGGATAGCGTGCCGAGTGGCAGCAAATGCTCGGAGCTCTCGGCCAGGCTGGCCCCCACCTCCTTGTCTAAACTGCAAAGAAATCTCCCTCCTGCTGCTGCTAAGGGATGAAACCAGAGAACTGTCTGTTTGCAGCTCAGACAAATTGCCATCATTTTAAGTTCCCAATTTTATTTTTTTTTCTATCTCCTGAACTCCCTCCTTCCCTATATACCCCTATATTTACCCCTGCAGAGAGCAACCAGACACCACAGATAGCTGGACAGGAGGATGAGAGAGTTGAGGTGCAATGGGTTTTACCTGTAATGCTGTGGAACAGCTGAATTACGCACAAATAAGTTACGCAGAACATCCCATTTGAGACCTCGCAAAACTTTCACCCATCCCGCTACATAAAATAGGACACCTCTACGAGTTCTCGTTCATGCTGTAAGGAGTATTTCTTGCATCCTTCCACTAGGAACAGCAGAGGGCTTAGAAAGGCAGGAAGGTAGCAAGATAAGTAAATATAAAGCAGTCATCAAATAACCTGGGTTAGCCTTTCTATGCACAAAAGAAATAGAAGAATTTATATGCTGATAGCTTGGCCCTCACATGATTAAAAGCATTAGGAAAATGGGAATCTCCCCTTCTTGGGGGTGCAAAGCTCTCTTTTCTTCAGGACTGCCAGATAATGTATCCTCTCTTTCCCATACAAAGGGCTTATTGGCTCAGGACTCTATCTTCCCCTAGCCTGAGCCTGGGGGCAGGGTAATTTGGGATAGGGATAAGCATAGAAAAAGCGTTGGTCTGGTCATTTCAATGAGCTTCTGATTTAGGGAGCAGGACTAGTAAGTAGATGATGAAGCTACAGAAATGGAAATTGCATGATGGACTTGTATAATATGCCTAGTGCTTGTGCAGCTTATCACGTGGATCTCATCCTTAACTTATTCTATGGTGCTAAATTGCACTTGTGATAATCTGAATTAATCACGTGCCCTGGACCATCTAACCTGCAGTCTGCCTTTGAATTCCATACCACATGCTCGTCTCCCAAGCCCAGTGCTATTAGAAATGCCTTGTCAGAAAGATGTCTCCCTATTTCCCCCACAAATTACACTGTTTGAGGCAATATTCAGCCTCATGCCAGTCACACTTTTACATTTTCTATCTTATCACCATTCAAAGCTAGAAGTGAGATTTTTATACCATTTCAGAGAAGCTGCAAAATTTCCCTCTTTCCATTGACAGTCAATGTTTGTTTTCACACTCGAGAGATCACAGGCTATTGGACCCTAAAATCTATATACCTCTCTGATGTCCCTGTTTACTGGACTCTGCTCTAAACAGTTGTAGCCTTTTCATTTCAGATGCCTACCTAATTTCTCCCCATAGTTTCAAATTATTTTGCACTTCCTGTCTTAAATAGTGTTACTGGCCACTCTGCAACAACTGCTACAGTGTGCTTTCTGTGCCTCCATATTTCACAAGTGACTGAGAGCAAAAGTAAAACATATTTGCTACCCCTCCAGGATGGCAGGCACTACACAAATACAAGTCCTTACTGTTAATTTTCAGCATACAACATGTGCCTTGTTCCACTTAAAAGCAAATGTGCGTTTGGAAAACAGATTACATCAAGTAAATCAAGAGAAGGTTAAAGGCTTTATCTAATGAAGTGACAGAAAATTAGAATTCTTATCCCAGGACAGTGACAGAGAGAGTGGGCTGCATTCTCAGGTGGCATCTCCACCAACTTCAGTGGAGCTCACCAGCTGAGAACATAAGTCTACTCCCATAACACACACATAGCGCAAGCTCTGCTCTCTCTAGACCCACTGATGATGGAGGCTTTAACCTCTCTGCACTGCTGCGACTTGCTTTTCTGTCACACGCAGCACTGAAAAGCCATGCACACAACTGGCAGCAATCTGATCAAACCTGGGACGGGGCCTGTTGGAAGGCAGCTGGGCTGAGGCTTGGAGCACAGATCCCAGAGTCAGGTCATGGGCATTCCATTCTGAGCTGAGGCAGGGATTTTAAAATCAAGGGTGTATTACATGGGGAGGCCATGGCTATTACCTGGTAAACTTCAAATACACATGCTCCATTCTTTTACACAAACAGATAAGTGTGAAATGTATCTTTCCTCTTTTAAAGCTTACCTACACCTCTTACTCTGACCTTGGGGAAAGTATTAGCAGAATTGCTAACATGACAATTAGTTTCTCAAAAGTAAATCCCAGATGTACATCCCTGTGTTTTGAGGAAGCTCAGATCCATGGCACTTTCATAAGCAAGGGCTTCCCATGTTCCATCCAGACTTGGACAAGCTGGCTTCAGCTAATCACTAGATCAGTCGCCCACAAATCATGGACTACTTCTAAAGAGAGCCTACAAAAAGTAACTAGAAAAGTCAAACATGCTGTCATTAGGCTAAAATCCACAATCAAAGGGCCCACACCTGCACTGGAATCTTTTTGGAGGGCTGAGATGATGAACACCAATGCTCTAGGTCCTGGTGTTTGCGATTATAGTGTGCTAACCTGAATACGGGAACTAAGAGGATACAAATGCTCTGGCAGTACAGTGCTGAGCTCAGGATAGAGATACTGCCGATAAACAAATTAACTAATTGCTTTAACTAGGCTGCCTCCAAGAATTTGTGACAATAACTCCCTTGTTAATCGTAATACACTGTGATAGCCTGAAGCTTGCCCTGCTCTCAGAGGATCTGGACCAGCCAAATACTGTCATCCAAAGCAAGAGGATGGAAGCGGGTCACATACCTGTGGAGAGAGGCCATTGCTAACAGGATTCATGTGGTTGGCAGGAGCAGCAGCATTCATGAAGCTGTCCGAATAGCTGGAGAAGCTGTGTCGGGCCCCGTAGGCAGAGCCGGTGTCAGCAGCGGCGGCTGCAGCAAGCCCTCCCTGGTGCATGGTAGACGGTGGCAGGGGCTGGGGTCTGTGTACAGTGCTTCCCCCATCTGCGGAGAGAGCATTTGGAGGCAAACAGTGGCGGGGTGTTACAAATGGGACTGTGCAAAGCATGGATCGATGGTTTGGCTGTCCTGATCTCAGCTTCTCTGTCCCACCATCTCTGTGCTCCATCTGAACACAAGCATATCATGCAACAGTTTAAGCACAGTACAAAATATGCAAACCTGGGATGAAATACTTGAATTGTCTCTTAACTTTCCCCCAGATCAAAGCTGTAATTCCTTTGTAAAGGCCAAGGCCAAAGCCAAAGCCAACTGGAATTAGCAATACTGCATCCGCTGTACCCCGGTACAGAGTTTTATCCGGAACAAGGGATCGCCTATATGATGCTCACCTGGGACTGATGTGCTCTCCATTTCAAAGCTGAGCAGAACTACATTCATGAGACACACTGACACAGCAGAAAGGACCATGAAACGGAGGAGAAAACTGTGGAGTTTCCATTGACTTGAGGAAACACCTGACCTCCCCAACTAAAGGAAAACCACCTACTTATTACCAGACCTTCAGTGGGATGTCATGAATCAGAAAGGGAAGGGATAATGGGATGATGTAGGGCAAGAGAAAAGCAGTGCAGGCGAAGGGGTGCTCACCTTGGGAAATGGTGGTCGTTGGGTAGGTGGAGTCCGGCAGCTGGTACGGGGGGAGAGTCGGGATTCCTGTCGCCATTCCTGTCGGCGGGAAGCCCCCTGGCAGCAGGTGATTGAAAGCCGCAAGTTGGTTCGCTCCCGCTTGTTTGCGCCATCTCGCTCTTCGGTTGCTGAACCACACCTGACGGGGAGAGGAAAGACTATGTGTGACTCACACGGAGCTGCTGTCTCACCTGGGTCGCTGATGGAAACTTATCCTGAATTACAGCACTGCCCAAAAATAGGTTCAGGTCACTGCCTGACACAGCCTTTGTGAGTATTTGTGTCTGTTCCTCAGTTTCCTTTCTCCCAAATGACAATACTACTACCACCCTGCCTCCTGGGTGAAGATACATGCATTTAAAATTGTTAAGGATACTACTAAGAGCGTGGGAGGGTGCTATCAGCAGCAGGGAGAGATGAAGAAGAATAATTTAGCTTGTGTATTCCGAGAGAGTCCATACCAAACAGATGCATTGCTACCACCTGGCCATTCTGCCTTGTTATCTGACAACTATGTGAATTATGCTGAAGGATTAAGTACCATAATAGCAACACGGCTGCACTGTTAGGAGGGATAAATAGACAGATTAGCATCATGGTTTCTATGTTAGACAAGCTAAATAGATAGAACCAGACCGGAGGGAATACAGGGGTTTCTTAGCTTCTCTGTACTGCAGCAAATCACCGTTGTCTGTATGCTAAGACATGCTCTCCTTGCAAGAGGCACTGCAGCGTTCACTAGAATTGTACTGCAGCCAATTTAAATCTCTGTGCATTAAAATAAACCCAGTATTAATGCACGTGCAAAGCTGGGCTTGTGTTTCCTACAGTGCTAGTTTACCTGCAAGACTCAAGGGGAGATTTTTCTAAATGCATTTGTCTGCCCTGATGTGTTTTATCATGGTCAATCTCCCTTCTGCATAGTGGAAAGGGCTTCTCAAGCAGTCTCTTGGGCTTGGTTTACTTCATTTAATCAGAGAGGCTCTCAGGCCCGATCCCTGTTTGGGGTTCAGAAGTATGCGGATAAGCTTTCAAGCCAGATGAGAATGCAGCTGCTGGACTTTGTGAGGCCTAAAGGGCTAGAAAACACGATTAAATTTCACAGCAACGAGAAAAAATGGAGAAAAAATCAAGAGTGTAAAGCATTCCGGGGGGAAAAAAACCCTCCATCAGGCTTCCAAGCTGCTCAACCATCAGATCAGAAGCTGGGGTTACAAGGGTTTGAGGTGCTGCAGTTCAAACTGTTCCCACATCTTGTGAACCAAAACAAAACTCTCTGCCCCAAATACAGCAGAACCTTAGCTGATAATGGCTAGGAAGGACCTAGTCCTGGGCAGTCCTTCACTTCACGCTGTTATTTACATCCATGTACAGTGAAAACAAGAAAAGCCTCATTTTCTTTGGAAGAGCTGGTCTAAATTAAACCCCCTGAAATGTATACAGTGCTGATGTCAGGCCCTTGGCACTAACGGCGTCTTTTTACAGACCTGCTCTTACTGCACTACTGGCTGAAGCAGCATAACCTCTTAGCACCTTCCAAAAGCGTGACAGAAATAGGTCAGCTTACATCCGATCTGCATTGATCAACAAAGTCCATGCAGGTCAGAATCGCTGTGTCCATTTTTGGCACCAAAAGTCGCTAGCAAAATCTAGGACAGAGTTAAGGAGAGAGAAATGAATGAACATTAAGGGCTGTAGCACTTTACAACTCTTTTATACAGTTCAATCCATGGCACAGTTTCTAGGAGCAGTGAGCATCATGAATGAATAAATAACCTTCTGTTTGCCCTGGTCATGCAAAGAGGATGGTCCCATCTTTTTCTCATGTGTGGATGTATGCGTGATTCATGCTCATTAGGGATATGGAACTTTGCTCTTCCTCTCATATCATTTAGAATAGAATAAATTTGCTTCCACTTTCACAGTTAAGGACACAAAAACTGTCCAAATATTTCTGTTAGCTGAACATAAGGAGATAAATAAACCTTCTCTCTTCACAGAAAAAGGCCTACTCACAGCTGGAAGAGCTTCCACTCAAAAAAAAAAAAAAAAAAATGCTGAGAATAACATATAAAATTCAAATACCTGAAAGGAAGACACAACCAAGCAGCTATGAATGCAGGAATCAAGACGGGAAGAGAAACTAAACTGCAAGAAAGTAAAAGCCACTCCAGTGATTTCTGACACTTTCCCGACATCGCAAAGGGTGGGAAAGTTCCTTTTTTATAACCAAGAGCCAGATGCTGGCAAATCCACTCAGGATTAGAAGTTCAGAAGAAACATGTGGAGTGAGATGCTCTAGTACAGGACACATTTCTCCAGCAATATCCCCACAAGTACTCAGCTCCCCTGTGGTGGTTTGTCAGTTGGCTTCGCTAACATATGATCAAACCACAACTTTGAAGAAATCTGTGTTGTCTTATGTCACACCACGTGAGGTTATTGTCATCCGTGCACAAACACATATTTGCATTCACTGTTCAGAATTAAAATTCACACACGTGTGTACGACTCCTCCCGTCTTGCTTCTTCACATCCAGTTAAGGGCGTGTATTCCTTTATTTTTTAAGGGAGATAAAAGGACACTCTGGATCCTTTTACAACCAGGAAGAGTTGACCGAAAAGGCCTCTGCAGGGGCCATTTCAAGGTGTCTTGCACACTTGGGTCTACAATGTGCACGGGCTTGGGAAGAAAGGAAAGTTGATTTTCATGACAGTGAGCTATCACCAGAGAAAGAAAGTCAGTTCTTAATTATGCGATGGGCTCCTTCTGTGACTTCATGAAAACTATTGCTTTTCTGATCTGAAGTCAGTGGAAACATTGCTGCATTCAACAAATTTTGGTCCTCATACAACCCACGCACCAGATCACCACCTCTAAATTGAGGATAAAACCCACATTTTCTTCCATTTTAGTTTATTTCAACAATCAGCCATCTGAGATAGAGGCTCTCTTTAACTGCCATACCCAGTGCAGCAAGATCTCTGTCTTGGCTGGAGCATCATAGCAAAACAAATAATAAACGATAATAATAGTAAATACACATGCACCAAATGAGATTCACAACTACATGCTTAAACGTAGTGCTTCCTAACAGAGCCTGGCTGGAGAAACCAGCCGCAAATACACTGAAACCTTCCACAAAGAAATTGATAGGATTTATCTTCCCGTGCAGAGGAACGGACATTTCATGGCCCAAACAGGTTGATTCTGCCCCTTATTTATAACCCACAGAAAAAGAGAAGATACATTCCAGCTAATGACGTTAGCAACTCTTTTAAAGGTGGCTCAGGCCTTTATGCTTATAAATCATTTTATTGGTAGTTGAAATATAGAGGCTAGAGAATCTAACTGTAATGCGAGGCGCACTTCAAAGGAGACCTGCTTTCATTTCACAACAGTTAAGGTTTTATCAGCCACTAAAGATTCCCCCTGCCAGAGGATCCTGTTACACCATGTTAAGCCTGAGGTGAAGGCTATGGCTGCTAAAACCAGACTGGTGGGAAGATGATGAGGAAGAGGAGGAAGTTTTGAAGCTGCTGGTCTGCCTATGGAGACGTTCTAGAGGCTGCTGGGGCTGGATCGCACGACTGGAGTTTTACGCTGGGACAAATGTAGCCAGCACTTGGGGAAAAAGGCTATGTGAAGAACCCAACAGCAAAAAAACCCCACAGCATGTCAGAAACCTGCTTTTTTTCTTGAAAAGACAAGTTCTTTGCGATCATTTGTCTGTGCACAGCAAAAAGATCCTGTGCTGTGTAAATGTGCTGCTTTCCAAGGGTATGGAAGTATAATATAGGTCACTAAAGACAACAGTCTGTACCTGCTAAAGAAATTTGGGGCTTTTGTCCCTGTGAATTGTCTTCCAAAGAATGTATTAAGTAGACAGAAGATGTGCTACAGAAACTGCTCAGCTCTGCTGAGGGGAAGCAGATAGCTACAGAAATGCCCTCATGGAAAATAACTTGAAAGAAGATATCCAAGTAGGTTCTTCATGTTCTAGTCATGCTCAGGGTCCAGATAAGTCTCTCACTGTGCCACATGCACACTGCTCAGTAAGCAGGTACGCTGCTACATGGATACTGAACACTACATGTTCATCACAGAATATCACTCCATCTGTTACCTTCACCATCCCCTTCACAGACAGGAGACGGAGGCACAGCGAGACTAAGAAACCTCTCCAATTCATCACTGTCTGCCTCACAGAACCAGCTGATTTCAGAAGAGCCCATCCTCCCAGCCAGATTGGGTTTGGGGCAAAGGTTAGCACTGGTTCTTATTTAACCTGAACGCCCGCACCCAACCCTGCCAACGGCCGCCCCGAGATGTCCCAGCCACTTGTTCTCAACCAGCAGAGAAGGGCTACAGAGACAGCTGCCTGCCAGCATGGGGCTGGACTGAATTATCCCCGCAGCCGCTGAGATATGGGTCAGCTCCCACAATTTGTCAGACAAGGAGAGGAAAGGAAGGTCAAAAAGAGTCTCCTGTGGGAAAGAAAGCCTGTTGTGTTCCTGCTCAGCCTAATCAGGACTTGATGTTGGAGAAAGATAGATGGGATAAATGAGCTCATAAATGGAAACAGGGATGGAAAAGCCAAGTTGTACCTTTGCTCTCCAGTGGAATAGAAGAGATGCAACATGTGTTCGCTTTCGCAGGCCCAAGAGGTTGCAGAAACCAGGTGGAATAGAATCATATGGACATTTATGGCCCAAGCACACCAAAAAAATTCCACCAAAGTCAGATGAGGTCCCTCCCCAGGTTGCATAGAGGCGACTCTGCCAGATCAGGTTCTCCTTTCAACCAGGGCAAATCCCTGCAGTGCCTTGTCCACACTAGTCATAAACGCTGCAAATCCTGGGCTTTCCAGGATTCTTCCAATGCAGAAGGCTTTTAGACAGGAGCTCTAGCAGCAACAGTGATGAGAGTCCGAGGTAGTTATTGCTCCATCCCAACACCTTATTTCAGATGGTGCTGAGAGTCGGCCCTCCCAGACTGGAAAGGGCCGAGATGTTACAGTGAGTGGGGATCCTGTAAGTCCCTACAACAATTTAGTGATGATTACGCTTCCTCTGCCAGGTGCTGAGGAGTGCAAAAAACAGACGTCAGAGACGTACAAGCATCATTGAGGCTATTGA